TTTATAACTATTAACAAAATAAACAAAAATGAAATCAATAACAGCTTCGAATTGTTGTAAATTCATTCAATCGTATTTGGAATCATCATCAACACCGGCAATCCAATCTTCAATTTCTCGGACTCTATAAATCAAAATGAATAACAAAACAGTAACATATAAAATATTATAAATTGCAAAAATATAACATACGTTCTGGGTATTTTAGTCTAGTTGACACATCCATCTTCAGTAATCAAAACTTCATCCTCAAAACGCACTCTACCTGTACCACGGAACCTCTCCAGTTGGTCCCTGTTGATAAACTAGGCCATCTCAGGATTGCCAATGCTTCATCCAGCAACTGGAAAATATTTATGTAAATGAAATATACATATACATAAATTAAATTAATTATTCACACAGGATCCATAAAGACTCCTATTTAGAGCACCGTACCAAGATAGCGGTAGAAGTGACTCTATCCAAGGCACTTCGCAGAAGGGTAGCGTTAACGTGTTTATGTAAATGTTAATGCAGAACTCATCGGACCTTACATGGTACAGCGAATACTGTAAAAAACGTACGTTAAAACAACTTGCATAAGTATATATAAATATAATATATAAGTATTAGTATATATATAAATCTCGCAATAAATTTCTATACAGAGAGATACAGAATTAAATTCTCATCTGGGGAAAATAATCTAAACTTATTGTGACAATCGCGCTCGTGAGTTATAATGGTAAAACTACAATTCCAAGCAAGTAACGAGTACTAGTGTATACACACAACTTCTCACTACAACTTAACAATACGGAATTTTCCTCGAAATAAATTTCAATACAGTGTGATCTTGCACCAAAATTCAGCATCTGGGAAAATTATTCCAAACTTATTCCTTTCCAGCACCGTGTCTCAAAAGTTAAAAAAAAAGCAAACGTGACACTTTTTAAATTTTTTGCCTATTTTATTCAATCGCAAATATCTCGTAAGCGTCTTAATGTACGTGGACCAATCTCTATCAGATACAATAGTTAAAAGGAAATTCCGAGAGGATGAAATTTCATTCTTAAGAAAAAAATTCGCTATAAGTGCTTGATACTTTTTTCGACGATTTTTGAAAATTCATCTCTTAAACTACAAAAAGTCACAGCAACCAACAAATTGCTGATTATGATAGATTGAAAAATTCTGTATCAGATAAAAATATAAAATAATTATATATTTCCTACAGTAAAAGGTCAAAAACGCCACTAAAAAGTGCTAAAAAGTGACATTTTCAATTTTTGCCCATTTTATTCAAACGCGAATATCCGTGTGTAAACTAAAAGAGATAATTAAGATCCGATCGCAGCATCTAATGTACGGACCCAACTTCTATCAGATACTACAATAGTTAAAGAATCTGAGAAATGAAATTTTCATTCTTAAGAAAAAAATTCGCCAAGGGGTGTTTGATACTTTTTTCGACGATTTTTGAAAATTCATATCCTTTTAAAACTAAAAGCCACAGCAAATCCAACAAATTGCTGATTATGATAGATTGAAAAATTTGCATCAGATAAAAATAATATAAAATAATTATATTTCCTACAGTAAAGGTCAAAAACGCTACTCAAAAGTGCTAAAAGTGACATTTTTCAATTCTTGCCCATTTTATCTCAAACGCGAATATCTCTGTAAAACTGTAAGAGATAATTAAGATCTGATCGCAGCGTTCAATGTACGTGGACCAATCTCTATCAGATACAATAGTTAAAAGGGAAATCTGAGAGGGATGAAATTTTTACCCCTTAAGAAAAATTGCCATAAGGTGCTGATACTTTTTTCGACGATTTTTGAAAATCATATCTCTTAAACTAAAAAGCCACAGCAAACTAACAAATTGCTGGATTATGAGATTGAAAAAATTCTTGCATCAGGTAAAAAATATAAAATAATTATATTTCCTACAGTAAAAGGTCAAAAACGCCACTAAAAGTGCTAAAAGTGACATTTTTCAATTTTTGCCCATTTTATCTCAAACGCGAATATCTCGTAAACTAAAAGAGATAATTAAGATCTGATCGCAGCGTCTTAATGTACGTGGACCAATCTCTATCAAAAACAATAGTTAAAGTGGAAATCTTGAGAGATGAAATTTCTTTCATTCTTGGTGAAAAAATTCGCTAAGGTGCTTTGATAATTTCTTTTTCTCTGACGATTTTTGAAAATTCATATCTCTAAACTAAAAGCCACAGCAACCAAATAAATTGTTGATTATGATAGGATTGAAAATTCTTGTATCAGATAAAAATATAAAATAATTATATTTCCTACAGTAACAGGTCAAAACGCCACTCAAAAGTGCTAAAAAGTGACATTTTCAATTTTTGCCCATTTTGTCTTAAACGCGAATATCTCGTAAACTAAAAAGAGATAATTACAGATCTGATCGCAGCGTCTTAAAACGGACCAATCTCTATCAGATACAATAGTTAAAAGGGAAATCTGGAGAGATGAAATTTCTATTCTAAAGAAAAATTGCCTAGGTGGGGTGTTTGATACTTTTTTCGACGATTTTGAAAATTCATATCTCTTTAAACTAAAAAGCCACAGCAACCAACAAATTGCTGATTATGATAGATTGAAAATTTGTATCAGATAAAAATATAAAATAATTATATTTCCTACAGTAACAGGTCAAAAAACGCTACCTAAAAAAAGTGCTAAAAAGTGACATTTTCAATTTTTTGCCCACTTTATTCAAACGCGAATATCCGTAAACTAAAAGAGATAATTAAGATCTGATCAGCAGCGTCTTAATGTACGGACCAATCTCTATCAGATACAATAATAGTTAAAGAAATCTGAGAGAGCAGCCCATTCTTAAGCAAAAATTGCCAAGGGGTGCTTGATACTTTTTTCGACGATTTTGAAAATTCATATCTCTTTTTAAACTAAAAGCTACAGCAACCAAAAAATTGCTGGATTATGATAGATTGAAAAATTTGTATCAGATAAAAATATAAAAATAAATTATATTTCCTACAGTAAAAGGTCAGTAAAAAACGCTACCAAAAAGTGCCAAAAAGTGACATTTTCAATTTTGCCCATTTTATTCATTAATGAATATCTCGTAAACTAAAAGAGATAATTAAGACTGGATCGCAGCGTCTTAATGTACGACCACCCCTCTATCAAAACACAAGTTAAAGGGAAATCTGAGAGATGAAATTTTCATTCTTAAGAAAAAATTGCCAAGTGGGGTGCTTGATACTTTTTTCGACGATTTTGAAAATTCATACTTTTGGGAACTAAAAAGCCATTAAAAAGCAACCAACAAAATGTTGATTATGATAGATTGAAAAATTTGTATCGTGATAAAACATAAAATAATTATATTTCCTGTACAGTAACAGGTCAAAAACGCTACCAAAAAGTGCTAAAAGTGACATTTTCAATTTTTGCCCATTTTATTCAAAACGCGAATATCTCGTAAACTAAAAGAGATAATTAAGATCTGATCGCAAAGGTTCCAATGTAATGGACCAATCTCTATCAGATACAATAGTTAAAAGGGAAATCTGAGAGATGAAATTTTCATTCTTAAGAAAAAATTGCCTAGGGGTGCTTGATACTTTTTTCGACGATTTTTGAAAATTCATGGCCCTTTTAAACTAAAGCCAAAGCAGCAACCAACAAATTGCTGATTATGATAGATTGAAAAAATTCTGTATCAGATAAAAAATATAAAAATAATTATATTTCCTACAGTAACAGGTCAAAAAACGCCACTAAAAAGTGCGCAAAAAGTGACATTTTTCCTTCATAATTTTTGCCCATTTTATTCAAACGCGAATATCTCGTAAACTAAAAAGAGATAATTAAGATCTGATCGCGCGTCTTAATGTACGACCAATCTCTATCAGATACAATAGTTGTAAGGGAAAATCTGAGAGATGAAATTTCTATTCTTAAGAAAAAAATTCGCC